TAGGAAAGTTAAGGCTTTTTGGATAAAAATTTGGTGGGTCATGCAGAATGTGTTGAAGAAAAAAATTCAATTCTCTCCACAATTGTTTTTATTGGGTATAGTTAAGGGTTTTACATCGGGTGAAACAAAACTGATACTGTATATGATAACAGCAGCAAGATTGTTGATAGGTAAATACTGGAAAAATGAAGCTTTGCCCACTATTGAGGAATGGACTTTGAAGATGGCCAGTTTTGCAGAGATGGCGAAGATTTCAGCATACTTAAAAGATTGTTCACAAGAGACTTATGAATGGGAATGGAAAAGATGGATAGAATATGTTCAGAACAAATATCAAACTAGAAAGTATCAAATAGCCTTTACTTGAAAATAATGTTTTAGAAATATTTTAATGTAATGAGGTAAAAAGAAAAATCATACAGGGGAGGGAGGGGTTCAAGTTTATACATAAGTGTCATATTAAGGGTTTTTTTTTTACGAGTTATGAGTATATTATAGGGAAGTCTGGGGGGAGGGGAGGGTTAGGGAGGTTGGGAAGTTTGGGGGGGTGGGGGGGAAAAAAGGGGTGAAAATGTAATTGTAAAACTTTTGCAATAAAAAAAAATGTAGGAAAATACTTCAGTGTTGCTGCCTCTAGCTGATGGATATCCTATGGCATTCATGATTTGTGTTTTGAGTGTTCTAACTCCTGTCACGAACTTCAAAATAGAGCCCCTGGCAACAAGATGCGATAACAGCATTATTATGGAAATTATTTTTTTAGATGTGGAGAGAGATTATTCTGGACATGAGCACCCCAGCATCTGCACTACAAATCCTAAAAACAGGCATCGGCAGGATTTGTGGGAGTTGTCACCTCAAACATCTAGAGAACCCCAGTAGTTTACCCTTGATGCAGGCATTTGAATAACACCAGTTGTTTTCAGATTGCTGAATTATACCATCACTTTGTTCTTATATAAATGAAAGATGTACGCACATACAATATGCTAGTGAAAAAAGCATAGAAAAGGAGGAACAAAGATTTATACCATCATGGTGTATTCCAGCTACTTTGGCTTAGGTAGCTAAAGATTTGGGGTAGATCTTTAGCATTGTAGAATGTTCTGCTGATATCTCCCATTTGGCAGAACAACTTTATCAGCAGAAGCAATAATTAAAAGATTGAAGACTGTCAGAGAAGAATGGACTTTGTCCAACATCTAATCTTCAGCTCTTCCTTTTGGAACCTATGCAGGCACAGAAAGGCAGCCTTTTTCTTAAAAAGGCTGAGGCTCATACTTCTCTTCTGATCCTGAGGAGTGCACTACTTCAGGATTCTTTAGCAGCTCCAGTCCACTCTGCTTTCCCAACTAGGAATGTGTACTACCCATCTGATACAGGTGGGTAGAAGCAATGGGAGTTGCAGTTCACTGTTCCTGCAGGGCTACAGTTTGCAAAAGGCTGACTAGGGATATGAAGGTAATCAGAGATGTGAAAGCCAAAAGCTCCTCTTCCTCAAAGTTTTATCCTGGACCCTGCTATGGCAAGTGACACGCAGCTCCATGAATCATGGGAAAGGAGAAGCAGCAGAGGTTCTTTTCCATGTCTCATCCAAGGTCTGTCGTCGTGAAAACATTGTTATGATACCATTTTCTATTTCTCCAAAAAGACCTCTTTCCCTGCACATGTCTGGTGCCAGCAAATCTTGGAAGCTCCTGATTGTTTAGCAAGTATGTCCCCTGGTTTAGTCAAAAGACTGCTTACTTGTCTGACAGGCCAGTTGTCAAGCATCCAAAATGTGATCATGTGACTGTGGGGGGAGGGAAGCTGTTAGAATTTTGAATAGGGGTCATAAGTACCTCTTTTTGGGTCATTGGAACTTTGAAGGAGCCACTAAGCAAGCAATTTGTAAGTCAAAGACTACCTGTGGTCTTCCAAAATAGATGTCTGTGCTGTCACTGTAGATATTGGAAAGATAGGATGATTGTTGAGTTCTTGCTCTTCTGATGGGCTTCTTCCTTCCCTTCCTATATCTCTTGGATCTGCATCAGGACCTTACTGAATTATAACTATAGTATATCACAGTGGCTCAAGTAGCTGGCTGGGCAGATCAGTTAGACTGCTTTGTTTGCCACTTAAGACAACATATGAGATTCTTTGTAGCTCAAGGTTCACCAAAGGTGAATGGCACACTTTTAAATGATCTCATTGACTCCAAAAAGCAGACCTGGCAAATTGTGGCATGGACTTTGGAGGTTAACAATTTATGTTTATTTGAGCTTGCCTTTTCCTGAAATATATGCATGGGACATGAAAAGATTGGATTCTATGGTTTCTTACTCTATTTATTATTTATTAAATGTATTTGCCATCCATCTCACCAGCTGGACAGCTACTTTAATGATGATGAAGTCTATACTTCTTACCTCTATAAACTTCCATATTAGGAAGGATTTTTTCTCTCACAAATATTAAAGCATATATTGAGTATCTGCTTAACAAGAGAAAAAGCACAATGAGCAACAATTAGCCCCCAAGTAGTTTTTCCATCCACCCACATAATCCTGCTCCATTCCAAGCAGTTCTTGATTCCTATTCAAGGGTGTCAGATGACATTAGTCTTACTGGTTGCCAATCCCAGTAGAATGCTGTTCATAAACAAGAGCAGGAAATGCTAGTTAAAACTTCTGGCTCTTTTAAAAGAAATGAATATAGCATTACCAAGGCTTTACGAAAATTAAAATTAAAAAAAAATCCCTTTTCATCACAGATTACATTAAAAGATTCTGTCTTCATGAGTTCTGACGGTTGCTTCAAAGAATCAAAGCTAGCTTTGAACTTCTGGTGTGCTTGCATGCATACACATATTTTTCCTTTTAAAAATAGTATTTTACACTCACACACACACACCCACACCTTACTGCCTTCTTTTTTTTCCAGAGAATTTATTTTTTGTGAAAATGGGAAAATGATCTAAGGCAAGCTGTATGCTTATGCATTTCTCTTAAAACATAGCAAGATATAGACAAACAATGCCTATTAGCTCCAGTGTTTAATTGGAAACCAGTTGCAGTGACTAAGGGGGATTTTAATTCTTTGCCTTTGTTATAAATTGTTGGTTTTTACTTATGTTGGAATGTTGGGAAATACTAGGTATATAGATAGGGGGGGAAAGGGTACGCAAGATATTCTTGGATCCATGCCATGGAAGACACCCGATCTGGTTCATAGTTTAGATAAATATTTGGGAAGCTATTCAATTTGACTGTCTCCAGTACAGACTCTCTATTAAAAACAAAAATATGATTTTTGGCAAGAATACGCTTTGATGTGTATAGAAAAAGAAAAGGAAAAAATACCAAGAATAAGAGAATAAGTCTGAAGAAGTGTGGGTGGCATAAACTTCAAAAAATATGCACATTTTCCATAGACAACTTTATTATATTTATTTTTATTGTGTTTGTGTCACAAGTTTCAAATTTTCTGACCTCATTTGTGCAGATCTGAATATTACTTCAGAGCAAAAATACGTGTTAAGTCTGCAGTCTCATGGTAAATCTTTTCTAAACAAAAGAGAAATCTTTGAACTCTGCAGAGACACTGAAAATGGTGGCTTAGCTTGCTCTCACATTTTTTGGTTCTCAAAAAGCAGCAAATGGTTCCTATGAGTTTGTAGTAGAGTTCATTAGCAGTTGAATCTAGAGGTCCAATCTATGGTATATGGACCAGTGTAATGCTTTGAATTATACACACTAACCCCACAATTGTTTTACCCATGGTTTGTTGTACAAGTCTCAATGGCTGGATTCACATATAATGTACAACAATGAAGTATGGTTTATGTAAAGACTGGGGTCACACAATCTGTAAGATAAAATCAGCTGAACATCACTATAAATGTATGTACCCAGCCACTATATGCCTAAATCTAATCGTGCTAACAACCTTCTCCCACATAGGGGCCAGGGGTCATGCTTTCACCACCGCCATTTTTTCCTCTTCCTTTTTTGCTTCACAGATCACTTACTTTCACTAGCACAGGATGGAGTATGTTACTCTGCAGGAGCAACTGGTTAATCTGTTGCCAACATGCCTGCCTGAGGAGGCAGTGAGCACCCACAAAAGCAGCATTACGCACTCTCTCATGCAGACCAGATGGATATATTTCTTTTGGGGTGCTTTCCAGTGGTGGGCCAAGTGCAGCCCATGGACTGTAGGCTTCCAATGCCTGATCTAAGTGATGGCTATTGGGAGACAAAATGGTGGGTGCTTGAGGGTTGAACTGTACTTGGAAGAGATCTACTGAAACTGGTGATACTGGATTTTGTTATGACTAGCTTAGGTCCTGTGGATATCTAAGCACATTACATTTAAATCAGGATCCAAAGTGGAATGCTGGATTTGGTTGAATGTATTTGTTTTGCTTCTTAAAAGTACAGTTAGTCCTCAACCATAATTGAGCCCAACATTTCTGTTGCTAAATGAAACATTTGTTAAGTGAATTTTGCCCTATTTTATGACTGTTCTTGCCAAGTTGTTAAATGAATCAGTGCAGTTGTTAAGTGAACCTGGCTTCCCCATTGACTTTGCTTGTCAGAAGGTCACAAAAATTGATCACATGACCCTGGGACACTGCAACTGTCATAAATATGAGTCAGTTGCCAAGCATCTGAATTTTGATCACGTGACTATGGAGAATGCTGCAATGGTCATAAGTGTGAAAAAGGGTCACAAGTCACTTTTTTCAGTGCTGTTGTAACTGAATGGTCACTAAATGAACTGTTGTAAGTCGAGGGCTTCCCTAAACCCATCTCAGCACAATAAAAAAAGAGTAGTTGATTGGGAGTTGACAGAATTCTGCTGCAAAGTTGCTTCTCCCACTGAGAATAGCTGCTAGAACTTCTTCAGAGCATGATATGCTTGTCAAAGTGCTATATCAAGTTAGAAAGAGGAATCCCGGGACTATGAAAAGAAAGATTTTAAAAAATGGCTCTGCATTCTCAAGGTGGAAATCTTACCTCCTATTAGTACTCTCCCTGCTGTGAAATTAAGCAAGTCCTTTTTTCTGAAGATCTTCTTAAGTGCTGTTCCTTCTCTTCCTCATCCTCTTGTTCAGTGTTCTTCCACATTCACAGAGCCTTTGGAACCCCCCACCCCCCATTTGTGTCTCTAAGAACTCCCTCACCCAACTGTGGTTTCTTAAGCCGATTCTGTTGCTTGATAAACAGGCTCCTCTCTTGCTGGGAATGATTCACAACCTTGTCTGAAGGGAAACCTTATGGGTATGAGTTCCACCCACAGCACCACATTGTCAGGATGATGCCATCATCTGCACTCTGCATTCCTTCCAGTAAGAGCCATATAAATCATATAAGGGGAGGGGGGAGTGTGTGTGTGTGTGTGTGTGCGCGTCAGTCTCAAAAAGTTTATTGCTAGGTGTGGGTGCTTCAGGCATTCTGAGGGACAAAACACTGTGAAGATGTCTAACACATGCCTTTTATTAACATTTGTTAGTTGGAAAAGGTGCTTTCTGATTTATTGCAAAAGGCTGACATATTTATGATTGCACCAGTCTTCATGGACCCAGTCCATTTCATCTAATGCAAGCTTATCTTATGGTACATGTGTCAAATGCTCCAACAATCTCACTTGTTTGCCAAACATAGTATTATAGCTATTATATGGCCGTAATAGTAACATGTCACTGTCTCCATAATGTGCCTCACAAAACTCAGGATATCTGCAGAAGATCTCTTTCAGGCCAACCCTTTTCACAGGGTTGTTGTCACCCTTTGTTGTTATGGGAAAATAGGAGGTGGAAGGAATATTATGTATGTTTGCTGGCTTGTGTTACTTATAAAGTAATAAAGATGGGATAAAAATCCAAGAAATAAAGACAAATAATATTGTGTCTAAATTGTTTGTGTTTGTTTTGTATCTCAAGTCAGCGTTGACTCCTGGGGACATTTTTTCCAAGGAGAAAACCACACTTCCCAACACTGGCATGGAAAGCTACTATATATAAACAGGGAGCAAACCACACATTCACAAGCACTGATATTACCTAGTCAGGTAATGAAATGTTTGCAAGCAAACAACCAAGAGAGTACCAAGGATTCCGTAGTTCAACCCTGAGCTACATATATTATTTTCTATTGGGACAAATAAGGAATAACCATGAAGAGGATAGAAAGCCACTCTATCATCCAGTTGTGAAGTCCCTTGGACTGATTACAAGTGCAATTGTTTTATTGTGTAATAGAAAATCCCAATAACAGTGAGGAAACCATGCTATGTATTTCACACATACAAACAATGGCAGAGGGGCCTCTGCAGGGGCAAAGTAAAGTCTTATTTTCTGCTATCCTCAATTGTAAGCTGAAACAGGACCCCTCTGAAAAAAAACGGACCACCTAAAACAGGGGTCTCCAACCTTGGCAACTTGGAGGACTTCAACTCCCAGTTTTGTTGGCTGGTGAATTCTGGGAATTGAAGTCCACCAGGACTTAAAGTTGCCAAGGTTGGAGACCCCGACCTAAAAGACTGAAGCCCTCTTATATGTTACTCTTTATAATGGTAAATAAGTTTCCACACACCAGTAACTTCCTTAAAGAAAAGGAAACAAAGCATGGAAGAAGTGATGAAAGATAGATAGCAAAGAGCTGAGGCTTTCTTTTTCAGTTCAGCAATCTTCTCTGAAAGCTGATTGTTGCCTAGAAGGGGTAGGAGACTTTTATGCGCTGTAAGTTCATTAATGGTGTCAGGAAGGTCTAGCTAAGCAAGGTCTAAAGATTTGGGTCTTCCCAAATCCCGAATATACGCTTCCTCCCCCATCCTGATTGCCTTGGGAGATGTTTGCCTTAAAGTCCTTCTTACTTCCAACACTGAAGTCGTCTTTCCGTCTACTACTCTGTGGCCTGGCCTGTTTTGAGGAGGATGGGCTCAGATAGGACATCTTGCGTTTTTTGAGATCAGAAATGCTATGAATAGTGGCTACTAATCACAATGGCTCTACATTATCCCTAATGTGAGAGATGGAATGCTTTTGACTATCAGTTGCTGGTAACAAACCACAAGTAAGAAAAGGCTTTTGTGCTCCTTACTCACCTGTGGGCTTCTGAGAGGCATTAAATTGGCTGCTTTGGGAACAGGAGACTGGTTAAGATAGGGCTTTGGACTTTTCTTAAGAGAGGACAGCAAAGACACTAAATAAATATCAGAAGAGCCACTAGGAATCCAGAAAATGTTAGCTTTGAAGACAATCCTTATTGATTTCATAAGAGTTATTTCTACTTTGTGGTAACAACTATTGCCTAAAACAAATATATTGTAATCCAGCTATTTAGGATCTGGAATCTTCCAGGTGTGTTAAATTCCCATAATTTCATGCCACTAGAAAAGGCTGCCTAACCATACTGGATCACAGTAGGAGCCCATCTTGGAAATCCCTTTGGAATCCCTTCAAGTAGACACTTGCAGTCAAGTCTGAACATGCTGTGTTGCACTGCCCAGTCTTAGACATATTCATTTAAGAGACCCATTCAGTCCAAAAATGTTTATTTAAAATAAATATATTTAGGAATGGCTCTTTAACCAACAATTTTTTCCCTTCAGTGTGATAAAGATTTAACACTTTCAAAGAAGTGCAGGGGAAAATATCAAATTAAAATACAACTTTTCACAAATTATATTAAAAATCCATTTATTTTTGTATCTTGTACATATACAAAAAATGCGTCTTACATGGAAATTTTGAAAACAAAAAAGTTAAGTAAAAACATAAATACATATATATTTTCTTATGAAATGTCAGATTTACAAAATGTACATTATGCATTTCTAGCTTGTCTTATGCTCATTTTAAAAATTCCCAAGCAAACCAAAATATCAGAACCAGGAAGATCAGATATTACAAATGAATCAATAGAACATTTTTCTTGCTGTTTATTCCCCAGTACTATGCCTGACATTCTTTTCTCCCTTCCTTGTCAATTCTACATTTCTTAATAGTGGTAATATTTTGTAAAGGTATCCATTCATTAAAAAAAGATACTGGTGCATTCTGGAGAAGGAAGGGGAAATCCAAGTACGGCTTGTTAAAAGCCCCCAGTTCTCCAATTAGTATACTGGGTAAAATTAAATAGAACCTCCTTATGTTTCCAGAAAGCTAGCTTGTGAAATGTAGCATTTCAGAAAGGCTTCTGAAATCAATTTATTTCCAACAGTGGACTCTTCGATGAAATGTTATATATAATGATGTAAATCTTTAACTTCAGACATATTTAATAGGCTGATCATTCAAGAAAGGAATGCAGGGAATCTTGGGAAAAAACCACATAGTTTATGAACAAGACACATCAATTCCAGCATTTCCTTAAGCTGAAAAAGCCTATCCTTATCAGAAAGCAGATTTCACTAAATTCCACAGGACCTTTTCTAGATAGAAGTTCCTAAGACTGTGTAGCACTTTCAACAGAGTGATTGTGTGCCACCAGAGGCCTAAATGGGTGGCTAGTCTCAATCCTTGAATCTGAACTGGATGCAGGATAGAATGGGGTCTTTTTCCCATGGAACATCAGCATAGGACTTCAGCCTTAATCAAGGCAATCTTTTGTTGTAGAATTAAGGCTGTATTCCTAAATGCCTCCACTAATGAATAAACTCCCTGAAGTTGTTGCACTTCAAGTCCATGTAAACATCTGCAAGAAACTGATTCCCAATGAAGGCCACAATTAAGAATCTACTGGTTTCAAGGGAATCTAAGAACATATTGAGGGGAGCACTGAGGTGCCTCCCTGATTGGACCAGGACTGCAAAATATCTTTTCCTCCCCTTTCTCAGTTTCTAGGTCCTTCCCTCGGCCCCACTTACAAACCAAAGGGTGATACAGATGATCAGCCAGGGAAACCAACTCTAACCTTGTGAATATAAAACATTATAGATGCTTTAAAAGGCTTGTTTGATTATTGGCTGTTTTGTTAGTTGTTCTGAAAAAAAGAGGGGGGAGGAGAGAGAGAGAGGCAACCTTAGCTTTTCTCCAGTTACATCGGGTTTCCTGAAAACACTTTTCCTTGTGTTCACAAAAAGAAAATAAAGAGCTGCATGGCTCGCAGCTCTAGCTGAACCTCAACAAATTCTTTGTTATTTTCCCCATAAAAACCAAACCCCTGCTTATGCTTTGCTGCAGAGAAACCCACTTTTGTTTCTCTTTTGTCTCCTCTAACAAAAGACAAGAGAGTTAAAGCCATTCTATCAAAAATCAACATGTCACTTCTTTTTCTTTCCTCTCCCCCCTTTTGCTCCTCCCTAAAATCTCAGCAAGACTCTTTTGCCAAAGCCCAAATCAGCCAGGAAGAAAACTTTGAAAACAGGAATGCAGAATTTTCCTTACAGCCTGGCCAAGCCCATGCAATGAGGATTCAGAAGTTAAGCTCAACTAAGTGTGAGGTAACTTGCTCCCAAGGCAAATTTGCATAGCTGGAAACCATTATGCCTTTACTTGGTAGTAAGTCCCATTGAATACGGGGGAGTTTAAATTTCCAAGTAGGTTTGCAATGAACTGCACTGCTACAATATGAAGGAACCCCCAGTAAGATTTATTTGGCAATTTCCTTTTTTAAAAGGAATGAACATGCACACGGGTACACAGGCGCACGCACACATATACTTTCTCCCTTCTCAGAGCTTTTCTGGATAACTTTAGAAAAACTGTAAACTAAGATTCTGATTTGGGGGAGGGGGGTCTGATTTGGCACCCTATCACACAGTAAAAAAGATAGCTTGCTTTTCTTTCTTTGTCCCAAACTTCCATTCTTGGCACTATGCCAGATACTCTAAACAGATACTGTAGAACCATTTAGAAAGTGAGAAGGCCAGGGTGAGGGAATAAGCAAATTCTCAAAGGATATTTACTGCCCCGAAGCACAGTCTAGAGATGGAGGGTCTCTCGGTGAGAAGCAAAGGTAGTCTGAAGGAACAATGGTCCAAGCCCTTGTTCCTTGCAATACAAGGGAAGAAGAAGCCAAGGGAGCCTCATACAGCAGTCTCCCCTTTGCTTCCTGTGCTGAGTCTGTGGTAAAAACGCCTCCAAGATTGGAGAGTTTTGCCAGTCCAAATCCAGAAGCCAGTTGTGATGCCCACAATCATGGTCATGAGATACTTGATCAAAAAGACAGTGAAGTCAGGGCTCATTGGGGCAACG